TTTTTTTTTTTTTTTTTTTTTTTTTTTTTTTTATCAAAATGACAAAGGTAGTGTTTTAGGAAAATTAATCTGGCAGGTGGCTTGCCAGGTAATGGAAGATTTAGGTATACTGACCTGGGAAAGGCAGGATTAGCCAGGCAGAGATGGCTGCCCCTGAAAATTCTTCCATCTTGGCCTTGTCACTTGGAGAGACAGAGTGGGCTACTGCTGGCTAATCCACGGTGCTGCCCAGCCTCCCGGGTTGGCCCGTGTCTTCTGTGGAAAGGCGTCTGCTAGCTGGGAGCTGTGGTATTTTGTAAGTATGTCACGTAGGAGGCATAGAGCACCAAGATTCCTGTGCTCCCTCCTCAGCTCTACTGTACTGCCAGCGGTGGCTGACTCGCAGGCAAAGCACTACTTTAGGTTCCTGGGAAATGCGGGAACACCCAGAGTCCTTAGCAGTTGTGTTTATAGAAGAAAAGGCTCATGCCCGTGAAACTTCACTCCTTCTAGGCCTTTCCTAAGAAGCTGGTGGCCTTCTCGACTTGGATTGACCGGACACGCTGGGCCAGGAACACCTGGGCCATGTTAGCCATCTTCATCCTGGTTATGGCAAATGTCGTGGACATGGTGAGTTCCTGCTGTCCCTGTGAGGGGACTGGCCAGCACGAGCCGCTCATCAAACCATTCCTCCACGACGACACAGGCTTGGAATGGCATTAGGTTCCTAAACAGATCATCCTGGCCAAACAGAAGGGGCCTTCTCCCCCAGAGACTGACTTGTTTGCCAGCTCCTTGCTCTCAGAGTTCAAGATCCCAACATCACAAGCCAGATCCTGTGCTGGGTGCTTTACATGTATTGACTTAGTCTTTTTAAATTTATTTTCAACCACAGTTTACATTTATCACTTAACCTTAATAACAGTCCCAAGAGGTCAGTATTGTTAGTTGTAGTTTCATATGAAGAACTAATGCTCAGAGAGGTTAATTCACTTTTTTAAACCACACCGTCACTGACAGAGTCAATAATTGAAGCAGGTCTAAATCCAATCCTGTGCTTTTCTGCATACTACATTGCTCAAGAATACAATACCTGTAAGCTTTCTGCGTTGTCTTTAAGTATTCCCTGCACTGTGGCTAGTGTCAGGTATCCATCAGGACCAGGGGAGGTAACCCTCTTCCACTAAAGCTTTCCTGTTTGGCCTTCATCCACTCAACATGGAAGACCTTGCTAGAACTGGGCACTGGGAGAGCAACTGCAGGGCCCAAATGGCTGGAGGCAGACAAAATCCTCTCCCTGCTTTCCTTAGTTTATGGAGAAGCTGCAGGTCCTACAAGGAGGTGGCCAGATGCTTTCTTGGCAAAAAGGGAAAGCAGTTGGAAGCCGAGATCTATTGATTCAGAGCTGTCAGTAATTTATCGAGCACGGAGCTCAATGATGTTCTTGTCAGTCATCACAGGTCCCATCAATTCTGGTAGTACTATAGACACTCTTTAGAAAGTCCTACTTTTTCAAATATAATGTTATATTATTTGCTTTAT